GATTCCCTAAAGAAGAAAGTGGCTATCCTATCAGTGTTCTTCCCTGGGAAATCCCATGGACAGAGGAGCCTGGTGAGCTACAGTCCATGGGGTCACAAACAGTCAGTCATGACTGACTGACTGAAGAACAACAAATGGTTTCTCTACACCCAGAAGGACACTACTGCCCATCTCATCTCAAAATACACATTTAGACAGAAATGGATCCTCATGGGGTATGCCTGCAGTTGTCTACCTTCCAGGGCTTCCCAGCTGGCACTAGTGGCAGGGAATCTACCTCCACTGCAGAAGACATAAGAGATGTGGGTTCAGTCCCTGGGAATACCATGGATAGAGGAGCCTGGCAGGCTGCAGTTCGTAGGACACGCAGAGTCAGACACAGCAGAAGTGACTTAGCACACACGTCTACCTCCAGGCGTACGCCTTTATGCTTCCGCTCCCCCTTCTGTTGCCCTTCTCCCAACATGGCGGCCCTCAGCAGGGTTAGCGTCTCCTCCAAATCATACCCAACCTACTATCACAGAATCAATGCCTGTACTTTTACCAATTTAGGCACATCTGGTTTTGTCCTCAATTTATGCCTGTCTGTTTACATGTCTGCTTTCCCTAGAAGACTATGAGCTAATTGAAGGCAAGAAATATTTGCTGTTCATAGTTTATCCAATGGTGAAGTTTCTGGCAAACACTGGAAATATTTGTTGAATAAGTATATTTTTTTATACAAGTGGAAAACTGCCACATACTTCTGCCTGCATAGATAATACATAATATGATTTTTATTTTAAATGTATTCAAGGCACATCTCAGTTTAAGTCTTAGCAGTCTCCTGGCATAGACAAAGCTTGATGAGAAAATGTCACATAGAAACTGAGTGTTTGCATGACTGATGTCGTGAGCTTTACTTTCCTGTTAATGTGTATTTAATATGTGTGTATTTATCTCTCTATATAGCAAATTTATATATGGATGCCAAGACTTTCTCCAGGTTCATCAATTTGGGAGCACAAATAATAATGCTTTTACTTGTCTGTGCTTCCTCTACACATCATGTGTAAAATCCTGTCCAGGTATATATTTTTGTAAAGCCACTGGAATCTGTCTCATTTAGGCTCATAAATACACTCATGTTTCCTTCTCTTCTGATGCAGATTCTTTTTCATGGCATCCTGCTTGGATTGCTGAAGACCAGAGATCTGACTGTCTACTTCGCTCTTGATACTTCCACTTGGTACTTGATACTTCCACTTGGACCTGGCATCTGAGAACCACCTATCACCAATAAATATTATATCACTTAAGTTTCAAAACAGCATGATACTCCTAGGTGAAGCGTGTGAAGATCTTTCCTTTTAAAGAGTTTATAGTCTGGATGCAAGTCCTTGTCAGGTGATGCTGGTTTGCTGAAATCCAGAAAGAAACCTGTTTGTCTATTTAGCATGAGAAAGAAAAGGCAAGCTCAGGATGAACTCAGCAGCTGGAAAGTAAATGGGTGAAGATCCTATGGAAGAGAGAGCTTACATATGTTGTACATAAACTCTGTTCAAATCTCTAGCCAACCTCTGAATTTTGGGTGTGCTGGGTAGATTCTAAACAACTGAGTTTCTAAACTGGCTAAAATAAATGAACTGAGATTTCAGAGATTTGAATTTGAATTTCAGCCATAAAATAAAATATCAGTATTTTTTAGGAACATAAAGGAATCCAGAGTCTCCATAACATATTCATAATGCTGAGATAGCAGTCTAAATTTATTAGATGGGAATAAATAGGAAATTGTCACCCATGCTTAAAGAACTTAAAGAGAAAAAGCTATTGGTGGCGACCAACTTCAAAATAACCCAGATTTGGAACTAACAGGCACAAATATTAAGCATCCATTAAAACAATACGAAAAAGTATAGAGGAAAATATAAGGGTCAAGGCAATGGCAGCTGGCAAATGTATTTGTGTATAGATATTCTTTCCTTCCTATAAAGTAATGTTCATTATAAAAGCCATGAGGACAGAAAATAGCTTGACATACACACTCAAAAGGAGCATTGAATTCAAATTTGTCCTATAAGACATTCATTCATAATGAAGAATCATTTAAAATGTACCTTGTTTGGTTCTGTGAAGACAATAAAAGATTTAAAAAATTAGATACAGTTTTTCCATTAATAGACCTAAGAATTGACTTTAATATGAATAACTATAATATAAGGCCAAAAATAATGCATTTTATGAAAACAATAGTCAAAAGTAGTCTGAAACCCCAGAGGTAGGCAGATTTATTTTCAGATCTGGGGAGAAGTCCTAATAGTAAGGCTTTAAGATGGAGAGACAGATGATATAGACCTTAAAAGAGGCTTAGATTGTTTTAAAATGTGGGCTTGATAAAACAAGGGTGAGCATCCAGGTGTCCGCAGTAGAGAAAGTTCTAAATATAATGAAATGAAGTAGCTATCTTGGTTGAAAGGTATAATTCGTGACAACAGTGGTGAGAGAGAATGCACAGGGAATAGGTGGGTCCAGACTGCAAAATGCTGGACCAAACACTTTAGTCATGGTTCGGGAAGATACTAGACAGCCAATAAAAGACAAGTTATAAAAGCCCAACATTTTTTCCCTTGCAAAACAAATGCAGAAATGATATCCATTATTATTGATTGAGATTCCATTTATTACTTATTGTTTGTGATTCCATTCATTACTTATTGCTTGCGATTGTAATCACCTGGTACAAAATGCAAATGGAATAGTTCTTATAGCTTCCATGCAGATCACTTTAATCTGTTAATGATTAAGTTATCAGATGACAAATTTGAACAAAAAATAAGAAATATGTTATAAAATTAACATTTTGTTTATAAAATATGTGTAAGAGTTCATAGTTTCACAAAACATTTCACTACACTATTAGAAAAGCTTACCCCTGCCACTTCTTGGGATAGGTGTGGCACAAATTTAATTTCATGTTTACAAATGAAAATCAATGCATCAAATGCAAATTGCAGTTAAATTATATGTTTGCAGATAAGCAAATATTTCTTTACTAAGACCCTTTCTTGTGGCTTTTTCTAATGAAAAGTTCAGAAGATCAACTTTTATCAGGCCGTTATAAAATGACATTGACACTTTAAAATTAGTGACAAACATGAAAAAAATTTAAAAGCCTAAGGTTAGGTAGGAAAATGAGTACTGTTTTTTAAACAATATATCAATGGAAACATTTTGGGTTTTTGGAATGTCAGAATATAATGTTACCAGGGAACCTTAAAACAGGGAAATCATGGAATTTTATGTCTTTGCTCCTATAATGCTTATTTTGATCCTTCTCATTACTGCTAATGACCTTAAGGAAAAGAGCATAGGCATGTGGCCATGCACACATTTTACTGCATGTAATATGTAAATTATTATGTGATACTTTTTAACTCTAAAAAGCTAATGCAGCATTCATTCCCCCTCTTCAAATTTGATTTGTGGCATAGGATAGTGTTTACATAACCCTCCTGGAATAATCTATATTGATAGGTAGATAAATGTTCTGCACATTTTGCAAATTCATATAGTGAGTTTTGTTTAAAACATTTCCTCCAATGGTCTTAGGTAATATTCTACGAAAATAAGTCTCATTGCAGATATGAGTCACTCTCTCAAGATAAAATTGTCCTTGTAAATTATCCCATTGCTTAAAAAAAAAAAATAAGTGTGTGTGTATTGGGGGCAAGGGCGGGGGGGTAGAAAAACTGATTTTTCCCTCCAAAAAAGGAAAATAATTAACTCAATAAGTTTTGACATTACCATCTCACTTCCTCTTATATGCTGGTTTTATGATACTAATATATTTCAAAGTTTACTATTTAATCAAGAGCAGGAAGGCTAATGAACTTAATATACTTCCATGCACTGAAAATCACATTGTGATCATAAAACACCAGATGGTACACTGATTACAAAAACTGACTTTGTTTTGTTTTGTCTTCCTTTGAGTTTCCTGGTAGGTGTTTTGTGTTCTATGACTTTGGAAGTTTTACAGTTATCCTTGGAATCTGACTCTATTATTTTTATAAAGCCACTTACACCTAAGTCCCCTGAGAGCTGAGCTCAAACATGTCTCTCTTTATGAAATCATCTCTTTAGGTTCTATTTAATATGATTTTTTGCGCTAAAAATCATATAACAACAAAAAAAGGACTTATAATTACAACTGGACTCCATTTCTTAATCAATATAAAGAAATATAGGCATATTTGAACCAGTTATATTTTTTCTGCTCTTTGTTGCTACTATTATCTCTAAATTTGCTCAAGAGCACAACTTCTAGCAACAATACTTAACAACACATGACTAATCTTCTCTTATTTGGTCCTCACAAAAAATTACGGGATTGTATGAGTAACCTTGTATGGGCTTCCCTGGTAGCTCAGTAGTAAAGAATCTGCCTGCAATGTGGGAGACCTGGGTTCGATCCCTGGGTTGGGAAGATTCCCCTGGAGAAGGGAATGGCAAGCCACTCCAGCATTCTTGGCTGGAGAATCCCATGGACAGGGAAGCCTGGCAGGCTCTAGTCCATGGGGTCACAAAGAGTTGGACACAGCTGAGCAACTAACACACACATATATGAATAACATACAGAATATTGTCAACACAATTTTTTTTTGTCGTTTACAATCTAACTAGTGATTAAACACAAACAACTTGCGACTTTATCTTCTGTTCCTTTTACACTGGTTGAGGGGGTCTTATATCACCTAGAATTTTGGACTTATGTGCTCAAACATTAGACAGTGCTAGTCCAACTCCTTTAAGTGCTTATGTCAAGAAACCAATAAATACCTTCCATCATCTTCCTTTCACACACCCTGGGTCCAGCGTGCCTTTAAACCAGGGTCAAGTCTGTGGGCCTCTCTGATTTGTGTCTGAGTTAAACTCTACCCGGCCTACAGCTGCTTCTGTAAAACGATCTGTTACACGGGCACCTCACTATTCCCGAGCGAAAATGTCCGTCCACGAGCTCATCTTCTGAAGGATGTAAGGGCCTTGAAGTGGTGCCGCAGTTTATTCACCAACATCTCCCTGAAGTGATCCCCCAGAAGGAAATAGAAGACAGGGTTGATGACACTGTTCAGAAAGGCCAATGGCCTTGTCAAGATGTACAAGGAGTTGATGATGGCTTCAGTGCATGGGGACTTCTTCCAGGTCTCCAGGCGTGAAGCAATCCGGACATTTCGCATGACATGGTAGGGAGTAAAAAGCACAGAGAAGATCACCACAGCCATGATGACTAAGTGCAGAGGCTTCTCAAGGGGCAAAGCTGTAGTGAGCTGCCTGTTCCTCTGCTTTAGAAAGAGAGCAATCTTGAAATAAAAGAAGCACATCACAAAAAGGGGAATGAGAAAGCCCAGAAAGGTTAAACACATGCTATAAATTAGGCTGTGATTGGGGTCCCCAGAACTTGCATAATCAGTACAGTTGGTGCCCTTGTCATCAGAATGTATAAAAAGAAGTATGGGCAGGAGCTCTAAGGTTACTAAGCCCCAGATGGCCAAAGATATTAAAATAGCAGATGCTTTCTTTTGCAGGAGGTGTTCCCGGAAAGGATAGTTCATGAGCAGATATCGATCGATGCTGATAAAAGTGAGGAAAAGAATACTGGTGTAGAGGTTGGCATGAAGTATGTATCGGTTGCTTATACACAGCACATACCCATATGGCCATTTTCTCTGGGCATACTTTCTCATCAGCATGGGAAGTGTACACAAAAAAGCCAAGTCACAGATAGAGAGGTTGAAGAGGTAGATGTTACTGCTGTTCCAGTTCTTCAGGCAGAAGAGGTAGCCAAAAACAACAGCAGTATTCCCAAGGAGTCCCACAATAAACTCAATGCCATACAAAATGGGAAGGTAGCAGCTTTCCAGGGCAGTCTGCACGGCCTCCCAGTATTCACAAGTTGCATTCCATTCCTAAAGAAAGCAGAGAAAACATAAGGATGAATCACTAAAGTAAGACTGAAAGCAAAACTGTACAAAATATCATTGCCTTCATTTCTAGCATCATGATCAACATCACCATCATCACCAAATAACACTTAAAATTTGAACTGCAGAGAGTTGGTTATATTAGTAAGAAGTGCATATGTATAGTACATAATTATATGCCTACATATAATTAATATATTATTTTTACCTATACTTATTGAGATCCTTTGAACTCTATGCTAGACACAGATGACAGTTGTGACTAAAATAACATTCCCCATCTCAAATAACTTTTCCTCTTTTGGGAAAAATCAAGAAAGATATAAGTGCATGTCAAGTAATGATAAAGATTGTCAGACATAAGGAAAAGCACATGCAAAAGTCCAGAGGTGGAAACATGCATAGAGGACTTGACAAACAGCAAAGAGACCAAAGGAAACTGCAGTGAAATAAGTGAGAAGTCAAATTAATTATGTCTTCAGGATTGACTGTGGTCCATAGCAAATCGCAGTAGTTCAACAAATTCTCTGAGCTACGTTTAACTGAACCATAGACTAGAAGAGGAAAAGGATTCTTTCAACTTCAGTCTTGCAATTTTAGTGGCTTTGATTTTGTTCCCATATTGACAAAGGATTATGCTTATTGTATTATGCTTATAAAATACAGCTCCACTCTTTGAATTTTTGCAACAAGAGAACATATTTATTGACATACAACATCACAAATATTATCTCTCATTTTCAGAAAAATCCATTTAACTCAATTCCACTTCCATCCCACTAGACATGAGAAAAACCTGGGTTGAAGAATTAAATTACTAATCACAGGTCACCAAATGTCAGGGCCAGAATTTGCCCACGGCAGCCCATAGCACCGCACACAGTGGATCCTTCACTGTAAAATTGAGCAGTCTAATTTGAAGAAGCAAGCTGATTGGTTTCACTCTGTATTTGAAGTTATGTGAGTTTACTGTTCTCTCACATTACCAGCAATTTACTGCATTTCTCACTGTCATACCAATTTTTTCAAACCTCTGTCCTACTCATCATTAGCAGATGGTTTTGCCTGTGAATCCCTGAGAAGAACCTGGTCGTGGGGCGTCCACTCTCCGGTTCCTGCCTCTCTTGCTCTCCTCTCCTCCTTCCTTCCTGTAACAGTGGAAAATATCTATTCCTCTGGGCTTACTTCAGATTGAACTCATCCCTGAGTTCTTAAGATTCCTACACGTTATTCATCATCTTTTCAGCCTCTCCATCTCACCTGCATCCTTTCCAATGGCTCTCATATACTCTCATCCTGTCTTAAAGACAAGGCATATACAAGATGTAAACCACTCTCCCTGGTTTCACATGTTCCTCTCCTTGTCATACATGGATCAACATTGGAACTGTCTTCACTAATAATTTTGACAGCCTGGCACCCTATTCCTTTTTCAACCTGCTTTAGTTTGGCTTCTGATCCATCACTTCACTAAAGTGCCCTCCACATTACTCCATCTAACAGTCATTTTTTCAGTCATCTTATTTGACATCAATTCATACAGCTATGTTTTTTCATTTTTCATAGAACTAATCCCTTCCTTTGCGTTCTGTGACATGAAAATCTCCCAATTTTCCTTTTTTTCCCTTCCTGGTTGTTTTTTGAAGACTTTCTTGTGGTCTAAGCCTTCAAGGTCTAAGCATTAAATGTTGACTTCCTCAAGGATCAGTACTGAATCCCTTCTTTATCTAAACTCCTTTCTTTATCATATCCCTCCTTTTCATGTCCATGGTGTCGATGGCATTGTCAATACCATAGACATGAGTTTGAGCAAACTCTGGGAGATAGTGAAGACACAAAAGCCTGGTGTGCTGCAGTTCATGGGGCCACAAAGAGTTGTTTGCATCTGAACAACAACAATCTAGATGCCTGGATGATCCAATCCACTTTCTATCTTTAATGACCATCCATATATCCACCTCTCGGTGTGCATCCCAGCCCAGCCCTGTCTTATAAGCGCTAGTGGTTTATAGTTATTACCATAGACTGATCTCTCAGAGGTGCCTGTCTCTAAAAATCCTATATAAATTCTCCAACTTCCTTCTCAATCCTGTTGTACCTCCGCCTAACTCAGCAAATGGCCACACCATTTACTGAAATGTTCACTTTAGACATCTGAGCAATGTCCTTGAAGTCATCTCTAGCTCATCTCCAATAATGAATAAACAACCATGTGTTGTTGACTTCAATGTCTGGATATTTCTGTAATTCATCACTATTGCTCCATCTCTTTCATCACCACTCTAATTCAGGTCGCCAGCATCTTGGACTATATGATATTCTCCTATTGTCTTCTCACATCTTCCCTGGCCCCCTTTTAGTCTGCTTTCAACATGATAGCTAAACAATATTTAAAACCTGCAATCAAAATTCTGATCATATTTCTCTCTGCAACCAAAAGGCTTGAATGATTCTCACAGTCTAAGGAATAAGTCCATAATTTTTAGTGAGACTTCAATGCCTGCATGGTCTGGCTCCCGGATTCCACTTCAACCTCATCTAGTATTATTCTCCTCCTTTCTCATCTTCCTTCCTGTTGTTTGCATGCACAGAGAAATTTCCTAATGTTCAGGTTGTTGAATTTTTCACTGACCTTTTATATGATCTTTACTCCATTACATCCTCTGTCTCATGTCTCCGCTTCTTTCAGACTTCAGTTTAAGTGCAGTTCCCCAAGATAGTTTCTGACTCCCCAGTCTAATTAGCTCCCTGCCCACTGTACACTTAGTTTTTTCTTAGCATTTCTCACAACTTTATCTTTCATACAGTTTACCTTCTATACCTGCTACTGGTCTATAAATACTTGCTTAGTGGAAAGAGGAACATAAACACTTGACTTTTTACAAAGCATTTTTATAAATATTTCCTCTGAGGTCTAGTAGGTGGTAAGTCCACCAAATTAAGCTCCTTGTTCTATTTCCCCATAAAAGCCGATGCTATATATAGTATGAAAGTGAAAACATTAGTCACCAAGGCATGTCTGACTCTTTTGCACCCGATGGACTGTAGCCTTCCAGGCTCCTCTGTCCATGGGATTCTCTAGGCAAGAATACTGGAGTGGGTTGCCATGGCCTCTCCAGGGGATCTTCCTGACCCAGGGACCAAACCCAGGTTTCCCACATTGCAGGCACAGTCTTTCCCATCTGAGCCACCAGGGAAGCCCCATATATACCCCATATATAGTATACTATATACCCCATATATAGTATGACTAATACTCAAAATTGGCGATTGTAGTAGTGATATCTATGATTTAGACATATAGTTGTAGAAGGTAAAATTTAATATATATCTTCTAGGATCTATTTTTAAAATTTAAATTAGCTAAAAACATTGAAATTTACATATGAAGTTATTAAACCTCAGAAAGTTCAGGACAAATACTAAAATATTCCTACTGATGAGATTCCAGATAATTTTTATTCTGTCCTTTCTGCTTTTGGTTTATTTGGACTGTCTATGTTTACCTCCAAATCAGCATGTGTGATATTAAAAATATCTAGAAATACAGTAGAAGTTCAATGGTGTTTACAAAATACAGGCTTTATTGTTCAGCTCACTGGTAATTTTTCAACATTACTTTTTACTCTACGCTCAGTGACTTCCCATTCCATGATTCTGGAAGTTCTCTCTTCCTTGCCTTCTGTGACATGGCAATCTCCTTGTTGTCCTTTTTCCTCTCTTTGTAGACCCTTTTACAGTCTAATCTTTCTTTGCCCATGTTGTAAATATTAGAGTTTTTCAAGGTTCATTTCTAAGCAACTTTGTAATTTGGGGAATACTCAAAATGCAGGTGCATGCACCCAAATGAATATTAAACCAATAGGAAGTTTCATTACGATAAGAAGCGTACTTGTTTCATTTTTGAATTTCCTCTTTTTCTAATTATAATTCTTTCTGCCTAGTCAGTGCTTCAGTATACTGACTTATGTCAGCAGCTCGTGTGTAGCATAAAGGTTTGGCTGCCGTGGAAGTAAGGGTAAGGTTGTCTAACATTCTCAGACCACTGTAACCTCACCTGGGTCCAAATTTCTAGATTTCAATTTGGATGAGTGTGTCTTTAGTGTGGCCATCACAGTTCTACAAATTGGAGTAACCTCATCCTTTAAGCAAAATTCTTGTTGAAGATGAACTTTCCTCATGAAAAATTAATATTCTCTTTGCTTTTTAGTGGTTAAATTCTTAAATTTTGGAAATAGAAATCATGATAAATATGTTATAGCTGATTTGGATGAAATACTTTTAACAGGTTTTTTTTTTCTTAGATGTTGGCAATTAAAGTTAAACCTTTAATTATATTTATAAAAAATATATCTAGACTTCTTAGAGGTATTAAACTATAAATAACATTCAATTTACATAAATGGACTATGAGTTCTCATTTTAAATTTGGGAACAAAGTATTCCTTTAATTGTATTCAGCTTTTTAAAAATGTACATTTTTGACACAAATTTAAAACTGATAGTCTATTACCTTTTAAAGTGCTTTTCTTATAATCATCACAGTAAGAACATTTATGAAATTTTAATTCTTAACTACTTCAAGACTATATAGCAATATAAGTATTCATAAACAAGTTCCTTTTTCACTGATAATTTGAATGAAAATATTTACACTGCAAAGATATCATCATTCAATATGAATGATGATATCTTTTATATAGTTTTGTGTATTCCAGAAATCAAAGGATTAAAGGCTGATAGAATGGTTTCAAATTGTGTGTTTATGAAGCTCTTTAAAAATACTTCAGCAAATATTGAAAGTTCTGGAAGTTATAATAGCAACAGTTTCTGCAATTTTCTACTTTTCCTTGATGTACTATAAATATCCTTAAAGAATATAATTTTTACAAACAAATGCTAAATCTCATTTTTAGAATGCTTTAAAATTTCTTCTAAAACATTATTTTCTGAGCATGCAATTATTATACATTATAGATTGTTTCATCTGATTTAGAAACTTTAGTTATTTTCTGTAAGTATGTATATTTATCTAAGTCCAATTATTCTTTTTGTTGAAACATGTTACCAAGAATTAGCAACTTTTAATAAACTAGATTTATATTTGGCAATTAAAACAAGACATATAATTTGACAAAAAAACATATAGAGGAAACAGCTATGACTTTCTTTTGGCTTCTTTTGCTGTTCTTTGTGTACTTACAAATGACAATTCAGACAGCTCATTTAAACATTGCTTACAATCTTAATTGCTCACAGACCACTGTTAAAAGAAACCCCTAGCTAATAGGAGGTCTAGAGTTACTTTATATACCTGGACAACACCAATTGCATTAGAGCTTACCATTTTGCCAGAAGGCCTGATCCCTTGACAGAAATTTTTTGCCAGCAACCTGATGCAGCTTCTGATCCAGTGCTGTGCTGATGACCAGAGTTAGTGCAGCCTCATTTGCATATCACGTGGCCAAGATTAATAATTCAAAAGTTCAGAAAAAATGTATTCCGTCAAACCTCCAAGTCAGCAGTTCATGTAAGGAACTTCCTGAGAAGTTGAGACATAAACTAATCATTCATTTCATGGAAAACACATTTCACAAATAGATTTTTAAAAGTTTACTGTTGAAATTATTTCTTTTGCTAGCAAAACAACAGAGAGGCACTCATTATTTCCATGTTTATTTGCTTATTTAAATAGTAAGAAAATGTAAGCACTGTTTGTTCGGTTTACAACTGCTTCTGCTTTCTCTCCAGTATTCAAATTCACAATTTTGGTGAATTCTGTATCAGGCATATAATAACTAAACAACTGTTATCAACAAGTTTGAGGGAAATATAAAACTGAAATTTGAAGGCAAATCTGGATATTGTTGTCAGAGTACAATCAAAAGGGATACTAGAGCTTTAGGCATTTTCATTTTATTTTCAGTGGTTAAAACCAAGAGACACTTAAAAAAGAATGCATCAGGTGGCTAGGGATTAGGGAGAAAGGCAGCAGCTAAGTAAGATAGCCTCAATAGAAGGCAATTTACACATCCCAAGCAATGCTCTGCATAGCACCTGGAAACATATGCCCACCATTTCAAACAGGAAACACACCTGGCTTTCTCTGAGGGTTATATTAGACTTATACTCAAACACTCAAGTCTGCTTTATTTGAAGCCTAGTGATGATGTTGAGAAAGATCCTAAATTGTGCAGGCTGTAGTCATTTAATTTGAATGCCTTAAAAGCTTAATGTTGATTTGGCAGTGACAGGCGAAAGCCCCCAAAGAAACTATTGCATCCAGCCCTCCTATCCAAGTATTTCACCTTTTCTGATATAGAAGAGCCCCAAACTCAGAAACCTAAAAAATAAAATTTGTAAATAAATACATACACATAAGTATGGCTTCCCTGGTGGCTTGGATGGTAAAGAATCTGCCTGCAATGCAGGAGACCCAAATTTGACCCTTGGGTCAGGAAGATCTCCTGAAGAAGGGAATGGCTATCCACTCCAGTATTCTTGCCCAGAAAATTCCATGGACAGAGGAGCCTGGTGGACTACAGTGCATGGGGTTGCAAAGAGTTGAGCACAACTGAGTGTCTAACACAAACACATGTTATATATTTAACAGTATATGCATACATTGAAATACAAATGTATTCATATATGAAATGTATGTATGTTTATATGAAATCCTGTCTCTATAATTTGTTGAATTCTTGTGATGTGCCAGGCATTGCACTAAGCACCATTTTGTATTGAATACTTACAAAGATCCTCTGAGGTTTTTTAATATTTCTAAAATATTTTCACTCTACAGATGAAAAAAACACTGAGGCTTAAAGAGGTTAGTTAACTTTCTCAAGGTCACAGAGTCAGTAAGGAGTGGGATCTGAGTTTAAACATATATATTTTAATTCTAAACACACCTACTCTGATTCTTAATTGCCTCCAAGATAGAGTGATGATACTTTTGATGGACACCACAGATTGAATCAAAGATTGAAAATTAATGCAACTATTTTTCAGAAATTCAACTCTTTTTTACTTTTAGAAGAAAGACTAAAAATATCATTTTCTGTCTACAATTTTAAAGGGGTAAAAAGCAAAGCATTTGAATGACCATACCAGGCCTACTAATTTTAAACAAATTAGCATGGACCACCTCTACGGTACATGGACACATTTCACAGGTTTCTGCCATCATTCTGAGGGGATGCAGGGCAATTCCTTCTCTGTGGGGTGGTGGGAGTTCCCCAGAGCTTCCTCTTTCTTCTCCCCACATCCTGACCATCGTCACACTCTGGACTGTTAAGATGAAAAGTGGTCTTCACTTCTCCTTTCTCATAGCGCCAGTAATCATTACTGGCAGCCTTGCTTCCCTCCCAAATTTTACTTCACCAAAGGTCGCATTGCCTCAGGATGTTCTCACTGGAGAAACCAGGGGGCTTCTGAGACAGACTCAATAAGAGATCTCTACCACCTCTGTTCTATTATGAGGCTTTATTGGAGGGCTTCCCAGGTGGCCTAGTGGTAAAGAACCCACTTGCCAGTGCGGGAGATGCAGGAGACCCAGGTTGGATCCCTGGGTGGGGAAGACCCCCTGGAGAAGGGAATGGCTGCTCTCTCCAGTATTCTTGCCTGGGAAGTCCTGTGGACAGAGGGGCCTGGTGGGCTACAGTCCATGGGGTCACAAAAGAGTCGGACACGACTAAACAGCAACGTGGGGTAGGTGTTAATAGCAAAATAAACGCTGGCTATTATAGAAGTTTACAATAAATGAGAAGATTTCTTCAGAATAATCATATCAATCTAATGCCGCTAGTGTTAGAATATTTGCTGCCCAGGAATATCCATTTGAAAGTGACCTTACAAAAGGCAGCTTGGTGAAAAAAGATTAGTGAATCCTCACAAGGCTTTGCCTTTTAGTTCCTGTATGCACCTTGAAAGCATAATGAAATTTTGTTTCCTTGTTTGGAAAAAGGGGGATAATCATTCCTATCCCCTACATCTCAAAATGTTCATAGTATCAAAGGAGATAACATGTGAAAATGCAATGAATGTGACGGCAATTCATACATACCAGGGGCACCGATCGGGAAATTCAAGAGGACAAAGGATAGAGTGGGGAAGACAATCGAAGTATTAATTAAATCCAACGTGAATAATAGCTTTAATATTTTTGAGCACTCAGTCTATAACAACGTGGTGTTTATTTTCTGTTTTATTTCTTTATTTTCTTGGCCGCACCACACCATGCGCGGGGATCCCCGAGCAGGAACCAAACCTGCTCCCTACCACAGTGGGAGGGTGGATCTTAACCACTGGACCAGCAGGGAAGTCCCAACGCCGTGTATATTAATTCCTTTAATATAGACAAGAACTGAATGCAGTGCATATTATTACTGATCTTGGGTGGCCTTGGCCTGCAGTTACTTGAAGCAGGTTTTGGTTCCAGGCCAGAGATTGAAGTCAGGCTGCGGCAGAGAGAGCTCTGAATCCAAGCCGCTAGGCCACCAGAGGCAGTGGCCAGTGGCAAGGCCCTGGCCTGTCAGCTGTGTGGTGATGAAGGTCCTGGTAAAGATGGAAAGGAGTGAAACAGGAAAAGTACTTATTATCAGGAAAAAGGGCACATGTGGGTAGATACACAGGCAGACTCAGAGAGCTGTGCCTTTGTGGTGGTTTGAATCGCTTTTAGGGGGCATTTCTTCCTGTTTTCCTTTGGCCAATCATCCTGCTTGGCCTGCTTCCGATCCCGTATTTGCTTTACTTCAGGATCCTCCCACGCATGTCTTAGCCAAGAAGGATTCTAGCGAGGAGGTCTAAGGGTAGCAGTCTACCCTTGGGTAAGTAAGTAAGTAAGCATCACTTCCTATGGCGATGCCCCCTCACCGCTAACCTCCTGGGAGCCTTTCTGCACAAGTGTCTCCTTGACTCAGTATTGAGGGATGTGTGTCTTTTATCTTCTGTCACTGACTCAGTGGACACGAATAGGAGCACACTCTGCAAGACAGTGGAGGACAGAGGAGTCCTGCGTGCTGCATTCCACGGGGCTGCGATGAGTCAGACACGACTTAGCACCTGAACAGCAGCCTCTCTTACCTGGGCAGGCTCTGCCCCCTCCCACCCCTGCTAACTTGGAGGATCTGGCCATAGGGGATGAACTCCAGCTGCTTAGCCTTGGGTCTGTTTATCTGTGGTCCCATTACTATGTCTGATTTTCAAATTAAGAAACCGAGGCCGAAAAAGATTAAATAACTTTACACAATCACACAGCTAGTAAGTGACTGGGCTGTAATTTGAAGGTCTGTGTGTTTCACTCCTGAACCCAAGTCTTTATTAATTTGTTGCCCTCATGGTAGAGGGGAAAATATTAGGTCAAAATATAAAATGACTGACACTGGACAATGTTTACTTTACATAAGGCAATTTACTGTGTTTTAACCTAATAAAAATAAGTTTAAAACTAACATTCAGTTTAATTACTAGTTATCAGTTTTATTGGTTATCATATTTAAGTATTCAAGTCTGACAACTAAAGATAACAGGACAATTTAGATAAGAAACCAGACAATTAGACACATTTAAAATAAATAAGTGTTTTTGGAAAGGTTCTACTAGCAACAGCCATAGGCATGTTTACCAGACACATTTTTTTTTCAACAGCAGGAACAAGTCTGAGTGGAAAACAAGCTTGTCTAAGGGTCATACTGACCATCAAGGAATCACAAGCAGGGACAGAGGAGAACACTTGATTTAATCCAAAGAATGTCTCCTAAGCCCTTCTGGGTAGTAATAGTAACAATATGACTCCAAACAAGTTGAAAGGAAACAAGAAGATTATTTTGGTGTTGCTATGCTAGGAGGATTTACTCAAGGAAATCTAGGTATATCTCAAGTCAAATAACAGATTTAGATAGGAAAAGGCAAACAATCTATTTCTTCTATATATAAAAATCCTTGGGACTTCACTGGTTGTCCAGTGGCTAAAACCCCATGCTCCCAATGTGGGAGGTCAGATTCGATCCCTGGTCAGGGAACAAGGTTGCACATGCTGCAACTGAGTTTGCATGCCACAACTAAAGATCCTGCATGTTGCAGCTAAGACCTGGTACAGTCAAATAAATAATAAGAAAAAATCCTCGTCATGTAAGAGTCACATTAGTAATGAGAATTTTTACCACATTGATGCTTCTCTCTTTCTTATCCCAGTGAATAAAATATCATGTTTATTATTTCTCAGCAAAATTCAGAAGAATTATTTCTGCTAAATAAAAATGTTACTTGTCAAAAATATCTGGCTATAGCTGAAAAAGGTTCTAAGTTTTTTGAGCTAGTAATAATCCAACATACAGCAAACTCACC